CCTATAGTATGTGTGCCACCATGTTCGTATTTCTGTGTGTGTACAACATTCACGTGTTGAAATTCTAACCCCCAAGGGGATGGTATTAGGAGGTGGGTCCTTTGGGAGGTCATTAGGTCACGATGGTGGAGCCCTCATGAATGGCATCAGTGTCATAAAAGAGACCCCAGAAGGCTCCCTTAAGCCTCCCACCATGTGAGGAAGGCATGGCAAGGTGTCTGTCTCACCAGACACCGAATCTGTGGACCCCTGATCCTGGACTTTCAGCCTCCAGAGCTGTGAAGAATACACACCTGTTGTTCATATGCCACCCAGTCTCTGGCATTCTGTTATAGCAGTCTGGGCTCACTAAGACAACAGCCTTGTTTTTACTATGGCCCTGCCCGCAGCCATGCCTAGTCTCTTATGTGACATGTTCCTCTGCAGAGATTGAACCTCTGGTCTTCTGCTACAGCTGAGGATGAAAAGCTGCCCAGTTACACAGACTAGAACAAAAAAATCTGAAGATTGAAATGGTTTTTAAATAAGCTTTCTACCAACCTTCCTGGGTTTTGTTCTACCTTTACACTCTCCTTCCAAAAGAACCCACTGCCATCAATTCCCACATCTTTTGAGAGTTCTTGGGCCAAGGACTCAGTTTACTCAGATGAGTGGAGTCAGTTACCACTCACTTATCTGCTTTCCAACTTGCAAAATTTTGTGCCTATTATCACCTTTTTGTTTTCTTTGCCCTTGCAGGTTTATGCCATTTCTGTATGGTTTCAGAAGACATGTTTAGTCCACCAAGTTCCCTGGAGCCCCCCACCCACACCCTGCTGCCCACCAGCTTCTGGTCTCACTGCAACTGACCATGCTATGCCACACTGACTTCAGAGTGTCAGTCAAACAACCCTCCGCCTTCACTTGACTCAGATGCTGATGACCACTTTTGTCTAAGCTCCTTCCTCCCTTAAATTCTCTCTTTTGGCATCAGTTATCATTCTCTCCAAAAATCCTCTTCCTTTCTTTACCCCAAGCCTGGTGTTCCTCGGGCTTCTCAAACCCCTGCTCTTCTCGATATTCTGCTGGAATAAACACAAGATCCTTAAACTGCACCACCTTAACCACCACTTACACAATGACAACCCTAAAATCTCTAGCTCCAGCCCAAGGCCATCTGCTGAAGTATAGACCCATTTCCCCACCAACTTCCTGGACAATTCTACTTGAATTTCTCACAAGTACCCCAAATTCAACATGTCCAAAACTGAAGTCATCATTGTGTTCACAAACCTATTACACCTCCCATGTTCTGTCATAATGGAGGGTGCTCTCATCTACCTTGCAAAAAGCCAGAAGACCGGAAGTCCCCCTGAGATCCTGTGGCTGGCGAGCCAGACGACCGGAAGTCTCCCGAGATCCTGCGGCTGACTAGCCAGACGACCGGAAGTCCCCCTGAGATCCTGTGGCTGACGAGCCAGGCGACCGGAAGTCCCCCTGAGATCCTGCGGCTGACGAGCCAGACGACCGGAAGTCCCCCTGAGGTCCTGTGGCTGGCGAGCCAGACGACCGGAAGTCCCCCTGAGGTCCTGTGGCTGGCAAGCCAAGCAACAGGAAATCCCCCTGAGATCCTGTCACAGTCCATCCCCATCTAAACACTCTCAGGGTCCTATTGGTTTTACCTTAATATCTAGAATAAGAGTTCTCAAAATTCTGCATGCAACAGCATCGCTTGTGGGCTTGTTAAATACCAACTGCTGAGCCTCAATGTGACAGTTTCTGATCCAGACCAAGAATGTGTAATTTCCAACAGGTTCCCAGGTGATGCTGATGCTGCTCATCTGGGGACTACACTTTGAGAACCGCTAATCTAGTCACCAGCACTCCTCACCTGTCCACTTGAGTCCCATAGTCGAGCATAGCCCTGTGCTAAGATAACATTTTAATTTAGCTGACCTTTGTAAAACATCCTCCAATCTACAACTGGAACATCCTTCCTAGAAAAACAATCTGCAGTCTTAAAATTTTCAGTGATTCCTCCTAATTTTTCCAAATAACACTCAGACTCCCTGGCCTGCTGTTCAAGGCCCTTGGCCATCTGGCCCTCACCCCCCACCCGGCCCCCGCTAGCCAGCTACCATTGTGCACATACTCTGGCCACACAGATGCCTCTGATTTACTCAAGCATCTCCTTCAGCTTCACACCATCAGTGACCGCACTCTCAGCTACTGCTATTCTGTGATATTTTACAATACCTATCAATGAATATTTTAGAGTGTCCTAATACCAATCATCTCATTACCTTTTTAGATATCTAAAATCTGAGGGGTGCCTGGGTGGCTCAGTCAGTTAAGTGTCCAACTTTGGCTCAGGTCGTCATCCCGCAGTTTGTGGGTTCGAGCCCCACACTGGGCTCCGTACTGACAGCTCAGAGCCTGGCCCCCGTTTCTGATTCTGTCTCCCTCTCTGCCCTCCCCTGATTGTGCTCTCCCTCTCAAAAATAAATATTAAAAAAAATTTTTTTTAATAAAAAAAAGAAATCTAAAATCTGATATAGGTCTTAAGTATAATCACATGAAGGACAAACCAATGCATGGGTCTATGATACAGTGTGGTATTTTAACACTTATTTCAAATACCTTCTAAATGTAACAGCATTCATTTTTATATGGGTAACTGCATCAGGTTCTCTACATACATGATACAATCAAAGATGAAGACAAATCAGAAATGCTTTCTTTGAAATGAGCTATCAATAGATTGAAGATTCTTAAAAGAATTCACAAAGGTCTCCTCTAAGTTATCAAATAAGAGAAATCAATAAAAAATTAATTAACCAAAGTAAAATATCTGGAACTAGCTTATAACTATGTTCCTTATTTTTTCCCAGTTAATGTGGTTTAAAAAAAAAAAAGTACAGAAAATCTTGCACAAAAAACCATTCACAACTAAATAAAATCATGAAAGCCTCTTATTTTAAAGACTCTATTTTTGGGGCACCTGGGTGGCTCAGTCAGTTAACCATCCAACTTCATCTCAGGTCATGATCTCATGGTTCATGGGTTCGAGCCCACATCAGGCTCTGTGCTGACAGCTTGGAGCCTGGAGCCTGCTTTGGATTCTGTGTCTCCCTCTCTCTGGCCCTCCCCCACTCACACGCATGCTCTCATTCCCTCTCAAAAATAAAAAAGAAACATTAAAAACAATTTTAAGAAAAATGACAATTGATATTTAACACTTTTGTATTTTTACTGGGCATGTAAAAAATGCCTATTTGAAACACACCAGATATTTAGTGTCAATTTTTAACGCTTGAAAAATTAAATACCAGTATTAATATTCCTAGCTTTTGTTACTTTTCAAAACCAGTCGCAAAATGCTAGTACTGACTGACCTTTTGCTCTGTCAATGCCATTACCACACACTTCCTTTTTGTCCTTCCTGCTGTTCCTTCTGCCTAGAAAATTCTTCCATTCTTTAAAAGCTGACTATCTGTCCCATTAGCTGGGCAGCCATCCAACCTCAGCTCTGGTAAGGATGCCGGGCCAGTCCCCGAGGACCTGTGAGGCCCTCCCTCCAAGGCCGGTCCACCCCAGACTGAGATCACACTTCGTTCGCAGTCTCTGGGAGTCAGGGACCACACTGTGAGTCTGTACACCCACTAGCATGGCACCTGCCACACAGCAGGTGCTCGAGGAAGGTACAGTGAGTCAATTACAGCTCCAGCAGATAAGCTGCTTTCTCTCTGGCTGTCACAACTTCATTACCAGAAAACACGTTCATGAACCTTTGCTTGCTACCCCCCTCCCCCCATCCCTCCTCGGAAGGACAGTGAAAATTGTGACCAATCCAAATTCCTTTCACTGGCTCTTTTATTCCAAGTCATCCATGAGGCATTCATTACAGCTAGGCCGGGAACCCTGGCCGAGGGGATGAAACAGCCCCGTCCCCCTTCCACGGAAGTCTCCCCCCTCTGTGTTCAGGTCCCGTTCTGAGAACGCCCCTCAGTATGCAAACATTAGCTTGGTGTCCACCCTTCCAGAGCACCCTGGGCCCGATCCGACAGCACGCTTGCTCTACTCACCGGCCTGCACTCTAAGCGCCACCAGGCTGATGGAAGAGGCTAAGGGGAGGCCGCGACAAGTGAAGCTACGAGGCCCGCTCCAGGACGCCGCTTGGTGGGCTGAGACCAGGAGCGGCGAGCTCTCTGGGTCACGCTGCGCCAGCTCCCCTACCTGCCATCTGCATCCCTGACGTGCTGTGTGGCAAAAACGTAAAAACACCAGATCCATGTACGTCTAGACGATGTGATTTTTGTCACTGGTTTCTGTACGCACAGCTTTCTTACAACATCCACCCAGTAGCCCCAGGCAGTGAACCGGGCACCGAGGTCCCCCCTCTCCCTGGACCCCCTCCCCCTGCCAACCCCCACTGGCCAGACAACATTCCACTTCTCTCGAGTTTTCCTGATCCTCAGCTCTACCTGTGGGAAACACGAGCCTGGCTACTGTCACTTTCTGCTTGCCTTTCTGTGCACTGTGTTGCTTCCCCGTTTAAACCGTGAACCCCGTGTAATGACAAAGGCACACACCTTGTCTCACACATATGTTGAGTCCCCACGGCACAAAAATCTCTTTTTTGACCTGTCAGTTACCACCCTGGAAGTTAAGTGTCATACTCTGCTTGGTGTCTCATGGGAGCAGTGACAGAGGTGTGGAAAAGAGTAAGTTGGAGAAAGTTCAAAAACAACAGGGCTGAGGCCAAGGTGTCACACAGTGGTATGCCAGTGCTACAATGCCTGTTTAATTGAAATCTTGTAATAAAAGTTTAAATACATAAAATGTTTTGTTTTTTTATCAAAAGAACACCCCCACGTCCCCAGCCTGATGCGCACAGAGGAGGGGCAGTGGAAACGGGCTACCTACAAGGAATGGAGAAATGGCAGGTCCAACTCTCGTTGGCTTTGTATTCCTCAAAAAATGCTCTGTGAGCAAATTCAGAGTCTCAGGTGAGTGAGAACCCCACCCCTCACTGGCTTTCTTCAAGTAACTGGAATCCACACAAGGCATTCTGTACCGTGGAGAAAGCTCCCCGTGGCTTTCAGAAGACGAGGAAGAGCAGGGCTTCGTGTCTGGGCAGCACTATGTTCTCGATGGTGCGTTCCATGGAGTGCACCTGCTCGGGGGAGGCCGTCAAGAAGGCCAGCGGCCCAATGCGCTGCTCTGCACACGAGTGGCAGAGGTAGCCGCCCTTGTTCTCCTTCCTGTTGCTCTGCAGAGAGAGGGGTAAAAAAAGAGGTGAGGCGGCCGATCGAAGGACAGGGGCTTTCCACCAAGAAACTGTGCATTATCATTCTGATGTTTCCAGACCCGTGCAAACCTCTGAGGTAACAACCTATCCCGGAGCATGACTATCTAGACTAGACTCAACTCTCTCGATTCCCGCAGAGCAGAAACCAGAAACGATCAAGGCAAGGGATGAAGGGCCGAGGAAAGCTGAACCGGGCCCTCCAGGCAAACAGCTGTCCTCTAAGTGGCCACAACCCAAGCTCCCGGCCTCTGCCACACAGCCTGACTCCCGATTATTCCACCTCTGCCACAGCCATAGACCCGACATCGCCTGTGCCTTATGAAAAGCGCCTAACAAGGATTATACAGACTCTTTTATCTCGACCCAGATCAGCACACAGCTCACGTGCAATAAGATGCAAATGACTGAATGAGATTCTATGGAAGGCTAAACCTGCTGCCAAGAGCACATACGTAGGTGATGGGGAGCTTCTTCATGGTGAGCACAGTGTCCACAGGGATGGCGTTGTTGCACTGCCCCACACAGCAGCGAACCACCCCGGTCTTCAACACATTACTCGTCAGTTCTGCTTGCAAGAAGTACTCCTGAGAAAGAAAGAGTGAGACGGAGTAAGGGCAATGCCTCTCCCCCACTCTACCTGCAAACTCCAATAGCTACACAACTGGAAACACTCTTTAGACACAGCCAAGTCCTTGCATGAGAAATGCACTGCCCGCCCCGATTTCCCTCAGTTTTTCTGCTTTTCCCCTGCCTGCAACGCTGTCTCCAAGACAGAGCACTGAAAGCAGTTCAGCTGAAGCACTGAAACAAGTTCAGATTCTTGTTAAAATGACCAGGTTAAAAAAAAAAAAAAAAAAAAAAAAAAAAAAAAAAAAAAAAAAAAGTTTAATGGGCAAACATGTAAAACTCTTGGCTATAATGACACTGCAGGACTGTTTCTGGATTTTATGTCCTGCTGACCTGTCCCAGAATCATTAAACATTATTTGTATATTTGCTTTTCAACCCAGGTAAGCTGAAACAGAGGACCTTAAAAGATGTGCCCGCATCGACTTGGGACATTCCATCTTCCCAAGCTTTTGGCCGTGCTAGTGAGCGAATACTGAAGCTCTGTAAGCCTCAGTTTCTCCCCGTATAAAATGCAGGTAACAGAGAACCTGCGACACTCGGCTGTCATGAAGGAGGAATACTAACATATACTAAGTGGTCAGAGCCTGGCACACTGCCAACACCCAAATCAAGCACGAATCCCCTCCTACACGAAATGCCCCAAGAACAGGGACCAATGTCTGGTCTGCTGTGTCCCCAGAGGAATTTAACACAGTTGTGGCATACTAGCGAGACCACAAGTATCTGCTGCCCAAGTAATTAGGATCCCGTATTTTCTGGATTACAACGGGCTACTGATCTAATTTTTGCAAAATCTATATCCAGGATTTTGATTTATTTGGTTTTCTGTCTTGCAGGATCTGTCTGCCTGCTACAGAAAAGAAGATTAACAAACACTCATGTTCCCACCAATAACTGAGGGGCAACAAAACCAGGAAAGCCTTTCAAAATAAAACGATAGATTTTGCTGAAATCCCCTTTGCCTGTCATCTCTAGTCCACTCCCCAGAGACAACCAGCTTCGTGAATGGGCCGTGCATCCTTTTCGATCCATTCTAAAATGGCTTTGAGTTTATATATGCGTCCAAGAACATTACATGTTATCTTAAAGTTATTTAATACTTTGAGTTTGCTTCTCATCTAATCCATTTCTTTCAAGTGCCACACAGGATTTAATCAAATCATTCTTCCACATCTTATGTAGCCATTCTGTCTATATGGATACTAAGGTTATTTTCAAATTATTGCCCAAGATGCAGGATCGAATACACTTGGACATGCCTTCCCACCATACGTGCAAGTTTCTTTTTACAAGCACTTTGCCCACGATCCCCACCAAGAAACCCACTTAGCATTACACTTCTGTACACACATACACGCGTAGATAAAAGACTGAAATAATAGTTCCACGAAACTGTATTTAACCTTATGTGCAGTGTAGTCCTTCTCTTCTGGATTTCATTCCACCTCACCCTTTTTTAAAAGCTTATCATAGCCCACAAAGTTAGTCTCCTAAATCATGAACGCACTGCCGGCTGCACTCTGGAAAGCACCGCTCCAAACAGTGGCTCTCACTTTGGTCTTGGGACCCCCTGACACTAGTAAACATTAAGGGCTCCAAAGATTTGTTGATGTGAGTTATATCCTTTAAGATTCACAACGTTGTAAATTTAGACTAAGAAACTTTATAATGTTTATTCTTCCTAAAAATAACAAACCTATCTCCTGCTAACATGTTTTTATGAAAAACAACTGTATTTTCAGAAAAGAAAAAAAAAAGCTTAGGAGAGTAGCATTGTTTTACGCATTTGCAAATCTCTTTAACGTCTGGCTTAATGGAAGACAACTGCTTCTGCATTCCATCTGTGGTGATGTCACGTCGTGTGGAGAACTCCCAGGAGACAAAGGGGGAGGTCTTCCCAGCATCTTACAAACAGCACAGAGTTTATGCCTGAACCAGCAGCCAGTGGGTTAACGGGCCTGGTAAGTGCAGCTGTGACTTTTTAGCCAGGCCTTTTCATTTTCACCTGCCCTTGTAGTTCTAGACTCTCCTTCTTCCGGCAGGCGGGTTTGAGGTTTGCCCCTCGAATACATCCCTTCCTTGCGGCTGGCTTCATGTCCCAGTCTCTGCTGCACACTGGGCAGATGAACTTGGGTTCGGCTTCAGATCTGGCGAGCCAGCTGGGAGCTCTTTGCTGGTGGTTCGTTGGCCCCCAGCCAGTAGCGGAGGCCAGAGATGGGTCCAGGCAGCTGCCTGGGCTCTCTGCCCAAGGGTCCCTCCCTGGGGCCCCGTCCTGACTGGGTGCAGCCAACCTCCCGTGCTTAATTTAAATCTCGTGGCAAGGCAACAGTTTAGGGGTTCGATTTCGACAGACATCTCTTAGCGAGTACTTCGTATCAGATGGCACATGAGCTCATTTCTTCCTCCCATTTGGTCTGGCTCTTAGATTTCTTCCTCCCCTTCAGCTGTCTCTGAATAGGGAGGCTGGGTTCTCTCGGCCTCCCTTTCTTAAGAAAAAAGGCGGGTGAGGAAGCAATTTGGTTCAGTCAGTGGAACTCAGACTTTCAGGAAGAACCAGAAACTAGGAAACTATTTTGTTCCATTCATGAAGCCCTGACTTCTGGGAGGAACCAACACTCACCAAGCCATTCTGGGCTTCATTTCATTTGTGTGTTGCTATAGCTTTGGTATCTTTGAATGAGACCTGCTATGTTCTACTTGGAAAAAGGGACGTAACCATTTGATTCCCCCACACACAGCCCTTTGGGCTGCCTTCTCCAAAACTGGGCAATCATTTTTTGCAACACTGCTTGGCCACAATATTCATTAGACTCTGGAGAAAAACGACCAATTAACAAATCCATTAATTATATAATACCATCTTGTAATTAGGTTTGTAAAAGGGAGATATCTGGAAGTTGGGCCTTTAAGATGTTTGCATCTTGTTCGTGTATTTATGTGTGTGTCCATGTATGTTGTAAATGTGAGCTACTTTCTCTACCTTTGCGTGGTATTGCTAAAATTAATTTGTAAAAGATCTCTACTTAGTTTGTTTAAAGACATTTGTAAAAATGAGGCATTCTAAAACTCAGAAAAACAGAAACTAACCCAAGTGTTTTTTAAAAAAATGTTTTTTTTATAATGTTTATTTCTGACACAGAGACAGAGCATGAGAGGGGCAGAGACAGAGAGGGAGACACAGAGTCCGAAGCAGGCTCCAGGCTCCAAGCTGTCAGCACAGAGCCTGACGTGGAGCTCGATATCACAAACTGTGAGATCATAACCTGAGCCGAAGTTGGTCACTTAACCGACTGAACCACCCAGGTGCCCCAAAGTTCACATGATCTTTGGGGAATTATTCGGAATTAAAGCTAATTTAAAGTTGCTGGTTTACTGGAAATAATAGGGGAAACAATTCTGTAAAGCTGCAGAAGGTCCGTGAGAAAGGAATCTGGAAAGGAACTTTGTACATGGTCAGGACTAAGACTGTGGAGAACTAGTATGTAAATAGTCTGGGGACGCTCAGTCGGTTAAGCGTCTGACTCTTGCTTTCGGCACAGGTCATGATCTCACGGTTCCTGGGTTCGAGCCCTGCCCACTGGGCTCTGTGCTGACAGCGTAGAGCTGCTTGGGATTTGCTCTCTTCTCTCTCTCTGCCCCTCCTTGCCTGCACTCACTCTGTCTCTCAAAATAAATATATAAACATTTAAAATCTTAAAAAAAGTCTACTAGGGAGTGATCAACACCTGGGAAAGAGAAGAGAGACTAAGAGTGCAAGATCAGACAGAAGTTGAGCAGTGGTACAATAACAAACCTCATAGCTGATTCTCTGAGGAGTTCTAGAAGTTGGATTACCCTTCAGAATATCCTACACTAAGGCCATTGGTTGTGACCAGTGGGGTAGAGGGCATGCCCTTGGCAAGGCGGCTGTCTTCAGTCAGGGCAATCCCTGCTGGCGGCTGAGGGCTGAGGGCAGCCTTCCTACAGCTGAGAGTCCTTTGTTTCTGATGGAGACTTTGAACTAACAGGAAAACTGCATCCAGACAGATTCTTGTTTGGAACATTGCTGGTTCTCTGTTTGCTCTTCCAGATTTAAGGCTGTGACTTACAGAAATTTGGTAAAATATTCCTTTGTAAACAAATATGAAACATTTATATTTTTCTCCCAACCTGATCCCTCCAGGGTTCGGAAACTCTCAGTGACTATTTTTTTTTCCTCAGTGACTATTCTTATTTTCATGGCAATGTATTTATTTACATAAGTTCAGTAAGAAACTGATCTCCTTATGACAGAATGCAATTAGAAACACTGGTTATATTACTAAAGGTTTGACCGCAATGTCACATTTAAGGGACAACATGCATAGACTCAGATATGCCCAGACAGCTTTAAGGAATTAAGGGTGACTTCATGGAGCCACTGAAACCCCTTAGAAAACTCAGTCTGATAGCTTGCTTACAGGGTTCCTGTCAGGTGCAGGAAACTCAAGATATTTTGGAGACCTCAAAGAGAGGAATTCACCCAAATCTGTAGGTGTTCCAGGCAAAGTCTGATGGCAAGTATTTGGCTTGTCTTTTGAGCCTCAAAAAGCTGTTGAAAGTTCAATCTGAAATTCCTTATGAAAAGTTCCAGCAAAGCAGATTTAAAAAAAGACCAATCACTATTCCTGCTATGCTTACGTAAACAATTAGGCCAAGTTTGTCAAATGTGGACTTATTTTACAAGCAAAGTAGTCTTAAATTGCGAAACTACGGGACTCATCACTCTCTTACCGAATCCACAGGCCCCACCCACCCGCTGTCAGCAAGGACAACATCCAAAAGAAACCCACTTGCAACAGCAGCCGGCCTCTGACAGACCTGAACCTACCTCAGGAGGACTGGTCTGAAGCTACCCAGCTACAAGGCTCCCATGAGGCTCAGATGAAATAAGACCAAATATGGTACAAGAACGAATAATCAAGGAACAAAACTCT